AGCCTGCTGACCCTGCCAGTCCAGGTGCTGGGGTGCGAGCCTGCTGACCCTGCCAGTTCAGGTGTTGGGGTGCGAGCCTGCTGACCCTGCCAGGCCTTCCTCAGGTAGCTGCCCCTGCCAACTCGCCAGGGAAGGAGATGTTCTGTGCGTTGGTTTTACTCAGTTTGGAAATGTCTGGGGAAGCGCTGGATTCTCTCCTGACCAGGCAGTTTCCCTGACTTTCCATTGCTGGCCAGCACTGTTAGCGGAGATAGCGGCCCTATTCGGGAAGAGTGGCCGGGAAGGCGTCCCCACCTGTGCCAAGCAGCCCTGCGAAGGAAGGCGTGGAACCTCACCGTCCCTTCCGTAGCTCTTTGTCAGAACCTCGGTTCCAGTTCCAGCTCCTGATATTAACACACACTCGAGGGTTTTGTTCTCTTTTTCTCTAATCCACCCAAATTACTAATTCCATCACAGTGCATCCAGCGCAGCCCCTTGGGCGGCTTGGCCTAAAGCTCGGTAACTGGATGCATGGCACGATTAAGATCCGATGGCTTAAAAGCAGCTGCCCTGAGCGGCTGAGCGATTTTCCTGTGTTGAGAAAGGCAGAGGAGAATACGGATTTTCCCCTCCGCAGCACTCACTGGAGCTGCCAACACAGAAGAATGATGACACTTGCCTTTTCCTGCTGGGGAAGGCAGCTGGGAGGGGAGCCGAGGGAGCTCAGACAGCCAGTGTTGAAAATGGGGCACAGGGAATGGGGCGTCACATAGCAGCCATTGCAGAGCATGGTGTGGGCACCGGCATCCCTGCCTGCAGGTCCTCACATTGCCTTCCCGACCACTTCGCTGCAGTCCTGGTGGCAGGGGTCTGGTCACTGACAGCCTGGTGGTTCCCAGTTGCCATGGGCTTCATTAGCGCCCCCTGATCTTTACGCAGCGTTTGCTCCTGTTCCTCACCGAAGAAAAGTGCAGCCTCCCAGGCTCTGTCTTTCAGTTCTTGCCACGCTCTTGCAAAGCCAGGGATTCAGTAAACATTTCCATTTCTCTATGCTGGGAGGTGGGAATCCAATTTACAGCTTAATCTTCTGCATGCTGAGAGAGGCTGTCAAAGACCCGGCAGAGGGGGACAGAGGGGGACGCCACTTCAGCGGCAGGGGTTCAAGCTTGCTGCCATCTTTAAAGCTTCCTTCTTTCTAAGTAGCCAGTGTGGGAAATTGCAGCAAGGAGCACAGCCAGGATAAGCAGGCTGCTCTGAGCAAGTGGAGACCTCCAGCCCCCCCTCCATGTCCTCGCCTCCAGGCTGAAGTGGGGCTCAGACCGCAGCCTGTTTACAGCCCCATGTCTTGTTTCAGGTTGAAAGGGGAAGACCCGTCTGAGCTGGTGACCACGGTGGACCAGGTGGTTTGCCTGGAGTCTGCCCGTCCCCGGATGGGCGTCGGCTGCCGCCTGAGCCGTGCCCTGCTCACCGCTGTCACCCACGTGCTCATCTTCTTCTGGTGTAAGTCCTCGCTGCCTGCCAGGCTCTCCCGTCCCTTCCCAGCCTGCCGCTTGCCAGCAGCCCAGCTCAGTGGCTGCCTGGGCGTGAGGAATGAGTCAGGCACCAAAGAGACCATTGGGCCTCATGCACCTGGGGGCTAGCTAACAAAGCAGGAGATGAACAGGACGGCCTCTGCCCTGCGTGTCTTTACCCTTGCAGACTGGTGGCTGGATCTGTAGTGTAACCAGAAATGTCCTTGGCATAGGGCAGGGACTGTCAGCCTCCCTGAGAGGGGTGGGCCTGTGAGAGTCAGCCTCTGCTGCCTCCATTGGCCCAGTCAGGCTCCCAGTGCTCAGACCTGCTCCACGCAGGAGGTGACGTGGGATCTTGGCCTAATTTTACTCCAGAAAACTGCCAGCATCTGCAGAGATGGGTAAAAGCAGAGAGGATGCAGATTGCAGAAAGAAAGGCGAGCCGGCTTGTCTCCTTCCGACAGCAAGGAGAAGGCTGGGGCGTGGAGATGGCAGCCTTGAGGACAGCCAGCAGTGGGTCAGAGCCGCCTTGTGCAGTGCCTCCCCCATGCTGAGCTCTTGGGTTGTTACCAACGGCAGCATCTCAAAGTACAGGCTTAGCATGTATATCTGTGTGCAGCAGACTCCAGCCTGTAAGGGGATGGTGGTGTGAGTTTGGGATAGCCTGAGGTCTGGGTACCTGGGACACCAGGTGACAGGAGCTGGAGACAGGTCATCACTCTGTAGCCTGTCCTTGCTGAGTAGGTGACTTCTATTGTGTTCCAGGCCTGGCCTTCCTGTGGGGCCTCCTGATTCTCCTGAAGTACCGATGGCGAAAGCTAGAAGAGGAAGAGCAGGCCATGTACGAGATGGTGAAGAAGATTATAGGTGCGTGTCCCTGGTGGAAGGGTGCTCAGCCTGCCGGGTTGCTGCTGACCGCTTCACTCTCTCCCATAGATGTGGTCCAGGATCACTATGTGGACTGGGAGCAGGACATGGAGCGCTACCCATATGTGGGCATCCTCCACGTGCGAGACACCCTGATCCCCCCACAGAGTCGGTGAGTCCTGCTCCTGGGGGTGGCTGGGGTGACCCACTGAGACCCATGGGAGGGAGCCCAGAACATAGCATCAGCAGACCGTGAGGATCATTTTGCCTAGCCGCCTGGGAACTACTGCCTGGCCCCTGCTGCCAGCCTGACTAGTGGCAGAGAGCTAGACAGGAGGACCAGGGGCATCAGCCACTCCTCTGCAGAGTGTGCTGGTGTGGGCACTAGCCGCCATGCCGAGGCTGAGTCCCGGTCCCCTCAGTGGTTCCAGCCACAGGGGGTCTCCTGTTCCTGTGAGTCCCTCCTCGTGGACACGTTAGCAGGACCTCGTGTTTGTAAGATGGAGGCCAACAGCAGCGTCTGCCTCATCACAGCTGGCAGGAGAAGGGAACTTGCAGGCGCTATATTCCGAGCAAGAGAAAACCTCCCAGCAGCCTTTGGGCACACTCCTCTTGGGGTTCCGTGGGCCAGCCTCAGTTTGTCTCTGAGTTGGTCACTGGCAGGGAGACAGAAGGAGCTTTTCAGGGCCTGTGACCATGACCCTGAAGCCGTACACCTCGTAGGGTGGATGGGGCACCCAACAGGGTCCCCCCTGCTCTCAGCACAGTGCATCCCCGCAGAGGAGACTAGGCTGTTCTCTAGCTGACTGTCACCTGCCATGTGGTGCTCAGAGGTTACACTTCCCCTGTGCTTATGTGGCCTCCCCAGACACACTCACTCTCCTGGTCTCACCAAGCCCACAGACCTGAGAACAGTTGGGGGGTGGGGTGGGCATGTATGGGCAAGGAAGCCCAGGCCCTGGGAAGTAGAGGGACTCACTCAAGAGTGCTGGGGTAGCATTCTGTGTCGCTACCACCAGTCCCTGTCTCCGTATCACCCTTCTGTGCAGCCAGGGGATTGGAAGAGGAGAGCATGTGCAGGTCTGGGGGTTTTGTCTCGTTTTGTTTCATTGAAACAGAATTTCACTTTGTAGCCCAGGCAGGCCTTGAACCAATAATCTTGGTGGATTAGCTTGCAGGATTTAGTGGCAGCACACTTTTCTGGTGAACAGAGTCCTGGCTGCTCTCCAGCAGCATGCATGCATTTGGCAGCTGCTGGGTTCATCTCCCCGCAGGCTGCAGGCAGGGAGTCCCCGCCCACAGGAGGCCACTGCTGCTCTGAGAGGTCAGCCTGTGGGTCCTCCGGTGACACCAGGTTCTCCGTCTCTCGGGGAAGCCATTTGCTGCACCCAGACTTCTGCCTAGTTCCTGGCCCTGCCAGGAGTTGTATAACCAGCCTTTCAAGCTTCTCTCCCCTGCAGTGGGATTCCACTGCCTCCAGTGGGCTGCCCTGAATCCATCCATCCATTTCCACACATGTATTGATCCCTTACTGTGTACTGTGAAGTGGAAGACAGTAGGAGAAGGAAGCATAGGGAACCGCGTGACACTGGGCAGTGCTGGGGCCTTGGAAAGGGGACAGGTGCTGAGGAGGTGGCCTTGAAGTTTGCTATGCTAGTTCTAGTCCCATAAGCACTAGAGAGTAGCTGTCTGAACACAAGAGCTGGCCTGGCACCCTGACTGCGGCCACGTCCCCCACGTCACAGGCTTGCTCGGTGCATAGCTGACCCTAGCCGTCTGAGCGCTCCCAGGAGCGCACCCACCCCAGGAGCACACCCACCCCAGGAGCTCACCCACCCCAGGGGCTCACCCACCCCAAGAGCTCACCCACCCCAGGGGCTCACCCACCCCAGGAGCTCACCCACCCCAGGAGCTTGTGGGCTGCCGTCTGTCCGTGAACCTCTGGTCTGCCAGGATGAGGGCATGCCTGGGGCTGGGGGGAGATGTGAGGAGCTGCAGGGAGCCGATTAGAACAGCTGCCTGGTCTGTCCACATGTGTCCCTGCATGTGGACGAGCACTCCTTCCTGCGGCCTCAGGGACCTGGCCTGAAGCTTGGCATCTTCATCCTTCGAGCGTTTTCTTCTGAGTGTGTGGCGTTGGCCTGGCCATCCCGCCTCCTGCCTCCCTCCATTTGTGCTCTCCCGGCAGGCCTTGCTGCCACATGCTCAGACCTGCAGTGGGGAAGGTGTGCTGGAGGGGAGGGAGGGCCCTGCGGGGGCCATAAAGGAAGGATATGGCAGGGCGCACACGCACAGCACACGCACACACTCTGTCCTGAAACCTTTTTGTTGGGGAGGGGAGCCACAGAGCAGGGAAGATCAGGGAGTGGCCTTTGGCTTCTAACTCACGAAGATGCATGTCTCCTCCTTCGGAGGCTTCACTTGCGCGCCCCCCCCCCCCCGCAGGGCTATGAATTTGGAATGCTCTGATTAGCCAACATGGTGTACTTCCCACGTGGACCTGGGTGCCCACCACTGCCAGCCCCTTAGCTCCCTCTTCCTGAGGCTTGTGGAGTCCCTGGTGCACCCCACTCTGCCCTCTACAGTTGTGTTGGTGCCCAACACATCCACTGCTGGATAAGTGCTGCCACGGGCAGAGCCTAGACACATGGCCCTCTGTGGGAAGGAAGGTGCCGGTGCCAGCCTGACGCCTGCTGAGCACTACCTTCTCGTTGCAGGCGGCGCATGAAGCGAGTGTGGGACCGCGCTGTGGAATTCCTGGCTTCCAATGAGTCCCGGATCCAGACCGAGTCCCACCGCGTGGCTGGGGAGGACATGCTGGTGTGGAGATGGACTAAGCCTTCCTCCTTCTCTGACTCCGAGCGATAGGACAGGGCCTGTTCCAGCCAGCCTGGCCTGGTCACCCAGCTGGGGCAAGGGCACAGACCTTCGGTGCTCATTCACACCTGCCTTGATTGCCCTCTCGATCTCAGTTCTGGGACACGTGGGCTTCCTTAGAGTAGCAGGGAGGACAGGCGAGACCCTCCTCTGTGCCAGTCTCACTGACAGAAAGGGAGGAGGCTTGCTCTCCCTGGATGGGAAGACGGCAGTGGTTGGAATCCTGGGGGTCCCGCACACAGCTAGACAGCAACCAGTGATCGGAAGCCCCTCGCTTGGGAAGGGGTCGGGTGGTGGGCTGGGCAGCAGGGGCCTGGGGAGCGCTTCGTCCGTCCGTGTGCCTTTGCAGTGTTTCCAGGGAGCGTGAGGGGGAGGGGAGGACGCTGTCCTGCTGCTGCTGCATGGGCCTCCTTGTCCAGAGGGGAAGGTGCTGCAGGTTAGAGCCAGCTGGAGAGACAGCCACAGCTGCCCGTGCCTCAGTGCTTCTCACAGATGGGAAGTGGGGCCTGAGCCAGGGAGGAACCTTCGCCTCCGGCCAGCCGGGCTCACCTCCTCGCTTTTACTGTGACAAGGCCTCTCCTGGCTGGTGAGCTGGAACAGGGCACCGGTGGGGTGCAGCATTGCGGCTGCACACTGCCCCCTGCAGGCGGCATGGGAGCAGTGTGCGCCGTTCGCCTGCTGTGCCGTGGAGGGCCCTGCTCCACAAACACCCAGTGGGGGTCTCATTAGCTGAGAGGGAGGCTCGCCAGCAACTCTAGCCGGCCTCACCCACAGCACAGGAGGGTGGCGGGTGGACAGGAGGCGCAGCTGCCTCCTGAAGACACAGACGCCCCTTCTGGACCTGTTGCCGTTCTCTTAATAAAGCACCATCTCCGTTTAGCAATACTCTCATTTCCTCGTGTCCGGGTGGTCGGCAGGACTGGGGTCTGAGCAGGTGCCTGTGGCAAGGGCCTGTTCTCATGATCAGGCTCCAGCTAGAAGAAGCTTTTGTACTGGGGTGGAACTGCTGGAAAAATAAAGTATTTATTGAAAATGGATGTGGTTTTTGTCCGTAATGCTCCCCCTTTCTCCCCAAAGTGATGGTGAGTAATGAGAAGGCTGGGCCACCTTGGCAATGGGCTTCAGATAAGCGGCTTCAAGCCACATGAGCACCCATCCTGCAGGGTCACTGTGGACTCCACAGCCCAGTGGGTTGAGAGCTCCAGTTCTATGTTGACTTGCCTGTCAGCCCCCTGTCTCAAGGTTCCCAGGAGTGCTGAGCATCCCTAGAAGGAAGAGCCAGGAAGCTGCATGGAGCTGGTAATGCCCTTGAAGGAGACACTTCCTACATCTAGGCCAGCGTTAGTGATGGGCTGGTGGGCACAGCATTGGCGAGGGGATGCTTCCAGATGACCATAGACACACCACAGGCGTCCGTCTCTGGGTCTCCAAGGCTGGCGGCTCAGATACGAGGTAGCCTAGCTATGTTCTGTAGTTACAGCCGGTCTTGCCCCTTCCTGGCCCCGCCTGTGTGGACACTGGCACCAAGGCATGCGAGCTTAGGCTTCTGTTGCACAAATGGGTGAGCGGTGGAGGGGCCCAGCACAACTCGGGAAGACCCAGCCTGCCTGGCCCTCCTCTGTCCGTGGAAGGTTTTCCCCGGGCATGTTTTGTCTGAAGTAGTGAGACAGCTAACCCGTGGTTCTCTCTGGCTGGGAGGCTGCTGGGAGAGCAGAAGCCAGTACAACAGAAAGGGAACAAAAGGCCACGGAGCCAGGCGCTCATGGCAGCCTGCCTCTCCATGAGAGCGCACCAGCCTCTGAGGACAGCATGGGGCCGCGGGGTTTCTCAGAGGAGGGGGCTGGAGGCATCCTTGACAAAGCTGTGACCCGGGAGGGGGTTTGTTGTTTTTGGTTTTGAGACAGGGTCTCTGGTAGCCCAGGCTGACCTTGAACTTCTCACCTTCCTCCTCCACCTCCCAAGGGCTGGGATTACAGGTGTGCACCACCCTGCAGTGTTTACCTAGTCCTGGGGATTGATGGGAGAGCTTTGTGCCTGCTAGGCCAGCATTCTCCCAGCTGAGCTACAGCCCTAACCCCGGGTGTTTCTAAAGCTCTGTCCAAAGTGTCCCCAGGCTGCTGACCTAGCCATCCTTAGTGATGAACAGCTCTCCTGGAGTGGGCCACTGAAGAAGCATCAGAAGGATGAGGGAGACTGTACCCCACAAACCTCAGCATGGACATCCACCTAGGAGCTCTGAGCTACCTTCCAGAGGCTCTCTACTCACCACCAAGGTAAACACAGCCATTTGTCACCGATTTATCATAAGACTTGGGTAGCAGCTGTTCCCCTTAATTAATACACCGTTGACTTTGAGCTCAAAAAATCCCCACGCTGAAGCACACGTGTAGACTCAAATCCATTATCCTGTCGGCCTCTCCTAAACAGAAGGGACAGAAGACCAGATATGCCACCCAACTGTCCCAAAAAAGTTGTCCTTGGAACACCAGGCAGCTTCTTCCACCATGTCTCCGGAAGAGGTTCCCTAGGATGCCCGTGAGGGACAGCAGAGGCAGCCGGCCGAATGGGCGTGGTTTCACTTTGCACTGTTTCCCCAGGGGCTGGCGCTGTCTGTACTCAGCTGGAGAGGCTGGGGCCAGCATCCACAGTCAGCTATGTCCTGCTATGGCGGGGGGCCTTGTCCAGTCTCTGTGCTATAGCAAGGGGAGGTAACCTGTCTCTCTACCTGGACCCCAACAGCCAATCCCTGCCTCGGATCTTTGCACTCCCTGCTCACCTGCTCTGTGTCCCCCAGTCCCCTTGGAGTCCACCCCCCTCCTTCAGGCTTGCTCCCTCTCTCCTTCCCTGCCTGAGGTTGCACCTATACCCCCATGCCTTGCCTCTTCTAGGATTTATTCCTCTTTTTCCTCTACCCTAATATCTGGCTTGCTACATATTTTTAAAACGATATTTAATTATGTGTATTGTGTAGGCATGTGCTTGTGACTATGAGTATAGGCTGTGGTGAGTTTTACAGCCTGGGGGCCGGGAGCCGAGCTGGGGTCCTCTGCAGGAGCAGTATGTGCTCTTAACCACGCAGCCGTCCCCAGCCTCTGGCTTGCTACACGTTTCCCTTGCTGGTATCTGGACCACCACTGCACAGGTCTCAGCCTCTCATGGCCGCGTATGTTTTTGATCCTTTCCGTGAGGTGTGCCCAAGTTCTTAGTGCCTGGGACATGATAGACACTCCATAAATATTCAATAAATAGAACCTCCATCCCAGAAGATGAGCTGGGCACTGAGCCTCTAAGGTCTAAATCCTTCCAGCTTCTGTTCATTCAGACTGACTTGATTTTGTTTTCTATTTTCCTTTTAACCTGAGGGATTTAAGTCCCTTCCGCTCACCTCCCGAGATCCTAGCACTACCCACTGCCTTGCAGAGGTACCTCCTCTGGCTCCCTCACTGGCGGTGTCTCCTTGGGCGGTCATGACCATCTCCTGGCTGCGAGACCAGGCTGGGTTGTCTGAGGTCAGGAGCAGGTGTGCCCACTGCTCTCTGGGGGAATGTGGTAGGGCACTGGACTCACAGTGCGCGTAGGAATCCAAGCATGGGCAGCCGCTCCGAAAATCAGGAGAGTGCTGCCCACTGAGTGCCCCAGGCCGGGTTGCCCCAGCCTGGGCAGATGAGCAAGACCAGTCTCCAGTAAGGAAAGAGGAACTGAAAGAACAGAACGACAGACCTAGGAGCAAGGCCAGGAGATGCATCGCTGGTGACGGCTTCTGAGCTGCTTCTGTCTCATAAGGAGACACGGGGAAGTACAGTAATTTTCTTCAATGAAAACAGGCAACAGAATTCCCTTTGCCTCGTTCCCCTGGCAATTAAGCCCTTCTCTGCAAATGAAATGATTTGGTTTTCATGGGGACTAATTTAAGCACACTGGAAGGACCGCTGAACTTTTTGATTGCAAATACTAGCGTGTGCAAACAGAACTGGCATTGGAGCCAGCCTGTCGAGGGAGGCCTGCCTGTGAGCCTGTAGCCTTGGCAATGGTCCCGCTCCCCTGAGCCCCTTTGTGAGGCTGACCCTCAGCCCTTTGTCAACCCACCCCATGTGGAGGAGGCCAGGCCAGCTCACATGGCAATCTTGGAAACACTCAGCGGTAGTGACCACTGAAGACCTCACCTTTTGCCACTTTTACACTTCCGAGATGGGGTCTCCTCTCTGCCTTCAACCTGGGCCCTGAGCGGCCACATTGCTGCTTTGATTAGTGTAATATGGCCACAAGGACACTGGCTGGTCCCCATCTAAAGCCCCAAGAAGCCTTGTCTCTTTAGTATTTTCCCTCATGAACCTGAGCCCTATAGAAAGAACACCATCTGCCTTCTAGGAGAGAGCTGAGGCAGAGATACCCCACCAGTCCTAGCGATTCCAGCTGTCCCAGTTGACACACAGGTGAAGTGGCCGTCCCCTTCTGTGTGAACAGGTGAGCCAGCCTGGAAGGCTGAGCCCAGGATGGAGCCACCTGGAGATGACTGGGTTCCTCTTTAAGCCTCTCAGGGCCTGTTATCATTGGTACAACTTTTCAATTGGAAGTAGCTGAGGACTGCTGGGATGTAGCTCGGCTGCTAAAGCTCATGTCTGTAGTGACTACGTTTAGAAGGCGGAGAAAGGAAGATCTCACAAGTTCGAGATCATCCTGGGTTAGTGAACTTGAGATCAACCTGGGCTGTATGAGACGCTGTCTCAAAAAAGGAAAAGAGTTACCTTGTAAGATGTTGCTAAAATGCCTTCCCAGAAGGAGATGTAAGCAACAACCACCCATTCTCCTAAAGTCCCAATGACAAACCAGGGCACAATTCCACCAAAGTTCACTCTAGGGAACTGATTGTGTGTCACATTGACGAGGGGTAGACTTGTGATGGCTATTGTTGGTTGTCAGTCTGACTATATCTGGAATGAACTAACCCCGCGCCCCCCCCCCACCCCGCCATGGACACACCTGTGAAGGATTTTTGCTCAATTTGAGGTAGGAAGATCCACTTCTTTGGTGTATGGGAGGGGTTTGAGACAGGGTTCCTCTGTGTAACAGCTCTGGCTCTCCTGGACCTATGCACCAGGCTGGCCTCGAACTCATGAAGATCCGCCTGCCTCTGCCTCCTGAGTGCTGCGATTAAAGGTGTGCGCCACCACTGCCTAGCAAAAGATCCTAATCCAGATCTTTGAGGTAGGAAGGCACACCTCTAATCTGGGCCACACCTTCTGCTGGAGGCCTATGTAAGGACATGAAGTAAGGAAGCTTTTGCTCTTTCCCGGATTGCTCGTGTCTTGGTAGAAAGTCCATTCCTGCGCCGTCATTAGAGCTACTTCTTCGGGATTCTGGCATATACTAAAGACCAGCTGAGATATCCAGCCTCACGGACTGAGCAACTGCTGGATTTCTGACCTTCCATTCACAGGCAGCCAGTGTTGGATTAGCTGGACCACAGCCTGTAAGACATTCTAACAAATCCCCTTTATATATGTCTACAGAGAGATTCATCGTAGTTCTGTTCCTCTAGAGAACCCGGACTAATACAAGAACCAATAAGTTTCTTTGGCTTCCCTATAGAGCATAAGTGAGGGGTTCCTTAGGGGTGTGACTGCTCGCTCCTCTCCCCCCCACCAGGCCCCTCTTCCTGGGTCTGTATGCAGACCTCCAGCACCTCTTTGAGGCCATGTGCAGTTAAGGGGCACTGTTGTATACAGCAGATGTGAGGACTGGGCTGGATACTCAGGCTAGGGTCTCTACACTCTCTCCACCGTTCCATGGGGGGAGGTGTACATGTCAATAAGCCTGGCTGGAATAGTCCTCGTGGAAGGGGGGCAGCTGAACTCCCCTGTGGGGCAGTTGTTTGGCTCTGAGGACAGTCGCTCACAACACAAGGAACGGCAGAGGTAGTACATAGTCTCTACCTTGCAAGACCACCCCCCACCTCCCTTAGTGACATTTCTCCAGCGACCACATCAGAGTGTCAGGTGGGAGAGCTGGCCTGGAAATGGTCAGTGAGCTGGAGGAC